GCCTTTTTCCCCACGCGCGCTAGTTTCCCGCCGCCGCTGGAACACGGCAAAATGCCCCGTGCGCGTTAAAGTGAAAGTTTACCCCGCGCGTGCGTCTTTTGACACAGCTGTTGGAGATGCTCTGAAACACCTTGTGTAGCACTTTCGCCAACTGGGAGAAAAAGGATCAAAGACCAAGACCACGAAAAGGGCTGGTCAACGATAGAACGGATGCACACAGAATAAAATCGAGCTACACGCCTCTTCTTTTTCCTCCGGCAGGTTATGCTCCGGAGTACGTAATCCAGATCCAAAATTCCAACTTCTGCTACTTCTTCTTCACAGCCTACAGCTCTTCGCCATCCAAGCTTACAATTCCTCATCAAACCCTGCATATTAATTCTGAAACCTTTCTCCCATCGTCATGGGCGGATGCGTTGCTGTTGCCAGAGCAGTGGATCCGATGGAGACGATGAGCGAGGCGCCTCCAGCTTCAGGTCCAAGGCCGCCCAGGTGCGTTGCTTTCCAATCATCAGAACCCAGCGGCAAGTACCTGTGCTACGCGCGCCAAGGCAAGGGGGCTGCCGCCGATGGGTTGTTCCAGCTAGACGGCGAGGACGTCACCAGCCCTCACACGAGGTTCTTCATGGAGCCGTCCAAGGCGCACCCCGGGCTCCTGCACGTCAGGTGCTGCTACGACAACAAGTACTGGGCGGCGAACCAACTGCACGATGGCGAGGACGACGGCGGCTGGATCGTCGGAGCCGCCGACGAAGCGGAGGAAGACTTGTCCAAAACGACGTGCACGCTGTTTAAGACCACGCCCGGCGACCGTAGCTCCGGCTATATCAGGTGCGTTTCGTATTGGCCCAAGGTTCATTTTCCTCATGTTCTGTAAGAAGGTCCAACTTAATCATGACTCTTGTATATATATTCTCAAAACAGGTTTGTACATGCTCAGCTCCAGATGTACGCGTGCGTGTCCAAGGAGAATCTCCATTTCTCCTTGGAGAAAGGAGATGAAGATTTGGGCGGTGGATACATCGTCCACGATCTGTCGCAGCAGGTGGTCTTGCCTAGATACCTTGCTTTCAAAGGTGACAACGGCATGTACCTCTGCCCGCAGATCATCGAGCGCCATGAATACCTTCAGTTCTCAGCACGGGGCGTGGATCAAGCCTTGGTCAACCGCGTCCACAGCAACCAGGACGGAACGTGCCGTATATGGTCGAACCACTTCGGCAGATTCTGGCGGCGCAGCCCCAACTGGATCTTCTGCGACTCCCCCGACGGCGCCACAAGCGGCGACGGCGTCGACGTCGACACGCTGTTCCGGGCAGTCAGTTTCGGCAGCTTCGTGGCGCTCCAGAGCCTCGGCAACAACTGGTACTGCAACAGGCTGACCACCGAAGGCAAGAAGAGCTGCCTCAACGCCGGGGCCCCAACCATCACGGCGGAGGCAAGATTACGGCTGGAAGAAGCCGTTGCTTCCCGTGAGATTTACGACGTCGTCTTCGACCTCTCGCGGCCTAGAGTCCACGGGAAGACCCGCGTCGTCGGCATGGCGGCTGCCTCTGCTCTCAACGACGCCGCCTCCGGCGACACGGCTCAACTCAGGCTAGAGTGCAGAGACACGGAGAAAAGGACCTGGGGTTCAAGTGTTACGGTGAACCTTGGTGTCGGGGCGAAGATCCATGCTGGCGTTCCGCGGATCACCGCCGGTGGGAATGTGGAGGTTACAGACGAGTTTAGTGGACCGTACAGCTGGGGATCATCCATGGAGAAAGAAACAACCAAGGATGTCGCCTACCAAGTCACCGTGCCCCCAAAGACTAGGGTAACGGTGTCCATGGTGGCAACAAGAGCGTCCTGTGACGTTCCCTTCTCCTACAAGCAGAGGGACACACTGTTGGATGGACATCAAGTGACTCATGATATGAACGATGGCCTCTACAGTGGTCAAAATTGCTTCGATTTTGAGTTTGTAATAACCAGCGAGGAAAATATCTAATGTCAGTCTTAATTGCTGATGTGTGGAGTATGGATGATGGTTTGACACATAGGGTAGTTGTCCAGTGCGGCGATGGTCGCACGTTGCATGTACCTACAGGGGTCATGGAAAAATGATGATGAGACATGACGTGGCTTGAGACTACGTCGGTATTTCCTAAAAAAGAAAGGGATGATACAACACAGCGACGGATAAGTATTTCTCTTAGTTATAAAATCAAGATTATCAAATCAATAGAAAAATCATGTAACACTATGTAAACGATACCTACACACAAAGAACAAATATTTCCAACTCGACACGTAAGAGGGGTTATCAATCCCTCCTGAGTAAAAGATTGGTAAATAGGTAGATGGGTAAAAGCAAATGGAACAACGGCAAATAAAATTCAGTGAAGTATTTTTGAATTTTTGATAATATAGATCTGAAAATAAAAAATGCAAATAAAGAAAAAGGCAAATAGCAATGTAGATCTGAAAGTATATGATAGGAAAATAGACCCGGGGGCCGTAGGTTTCGCTAGTGGCTTCTCTCAAGAAATAGCACATTGTCGGTAAACAAATTATTGTTGGACAATTGATGGAAAAGCGAATAATTATGATGATATCCAAGACAATGATCGTGTATATAGGCATTACATCCAAGATTAGTAGACCGACTCCTGCTTGCATCTACTAGTATTACTCCACACATCGACCGCTATCCAGCATGCTTCTAGTGTATTAAGTTCATGGAGAAACGTAGTAATGCAATAAGAACGGTGACATGATGTGAACAAGATCCATGTAGGAATAGACCCCATCTTTTTATTCTTAATAGCAATAATACATGTGTGCCTTGCTGCCCCTTCCGTCACTAGGAAAGGACACCGCAAGATCGAACCCATCACAAAGCACCTATTCCCATTGCAAGATAAATAGATCAAGTTGACCAAACAAAACCTAAATATCGAAGAAGAAATACGAGGCTATAATAATCAAGTACGGATATTAAGGCAAAACAAATCTGATCATAAACTCACACTTCATCGGATCCCAACAAACACACCGCACAAAGTTATTACATCAAATAGATCTTCAAGAAAACTTTGTATTGAAGAACAAAAGGAGAAGAAGTCATCTAGCTATTGCCTACGGACCCGTAGGTCTGAGGTGAACTACTCATGTATCATCGAAGAGGCACCAATGAGGATGATGAACCCATCCATGATCGTGTTCCCCTCCGTCGGAGTGCCGGAAAATGGCTCTAGATTGGATCCCGTGGTTCTGAAACTTGCGGCGGCTGAAACAATTTTTCGTCAACTCCCCTAGGTTTTTGGAATATTTGAGTATTTATAGAGATGAAAGTCAGTGGAGGAGACCCCCATGGGCCCCACAACCCACCTGGGTGCACCTGGGCTCTTGCGCGCGCCCAGGTGTCTTGTGGTCCCCACGGGACTCCCCCTGGTTGCTTCCTTGGCCCATACGCTTTCTTGTGGTCTAGAAAAAATCACCCAAATGTTTCGTGGCATTTGTACTCTGTTTGATAAGGATTTTCTACGAAAGGAAAACAAGTAAAAACAGCAACTGGCACTTGTCACTATGGCAATAGTTTAGTCCCAAAAAATAATATAAAGTTGCTATAAAATGATTGTAAAACATCCAAGATTGATCATATAACCGGGTATGGCTACTAGGCAGACGGGTGGGGTGGAAAGTGACGGCGGCGACGGGCGGGAGGAGGAAAATGTGGATCGATGGTAAGGTTTCGGTGCCGCCGGTCGACTTAAATAGGCGGGCAATGCAATACGCGGCTCGCCGGAGCTGCACCACGCGGCGTCATCGGTCCGACGGATGAGACGAGCTTCGGACCACCGGGTTTGATGGCGTTTCCGTCTAGGACCCCTTCGTCTGTCCGACGAGGCAGGCGTCCCAGGCGCCCCCATATCCATCCCATATTTAAGCTGGATATGGGGGGTGCCGGTCAGTCAGGGCGTTTGAGGGCCGCTTGAGAGGTCCTTCTGGGTCAAAAAATCATGACCGGGCGGCCCGTCCGGACATATGAGACGGGTTTGACAGGTCCGGTTGTAAATACTCTAATTATTTGCTCAACAGGCATTTATTTTTAATCTCCATGTGCATGTACTACTAGCACCAAAGAAAACTTTGAGCTCTTATTCGATCTCACGAAAAGTAGCAGACCCAGTCCAAGACAACTACTGACACGCTCTCTAACTTGCTTCACACAACTAGCGTCAGGAAAGTAAGAGAATCATCCTAATAATGCAGGAGCCGAAATAGGTGTGTAACCAATTCTTCTGAGAACTAACGAACAGAATCAGCTGCGGGCCCGAAATAAAGGAAGTCTGATCAGACGAACTGAACAAGGTTCTCCAAGTAACAAAGCAAGAAACCGAACAAGGTTCTCCGACAAAGCAGCCGTCCGAAAGAGAAACCTGAGGTATAGGTGTGATTTACACACTGATGACTGATGAGTGATGAGATACTATATATAAATAGACCGTAAGGTTGTCATCTCTCGAGGCTTTGGTGGAAAGAGGGTGTGGAAATAAGAGAATGCTTGCTTGTGCCCATCTGAAAGCTGCCGTCCGTGGTCACTCTCTGGTCAAGTGGTCTTTCGAATCGATTTCCTAACCTCGTACTCTCTCCCTTCGAAAATACTTATCATCAAAATAAATAAATAAAATGTATTTAGATGTATTTTAATTTTAAATACATCTTTTTTGTCCATTTTAATGATAAGTATTTTCGGGCGGAGGGAGGGAGTACGAAATTTGCTTCTGCTCCAGCAGCGAGGTGTGGACTTGACGACTTCTCCACCCTGCTCGGCTCTGAGAAGACTGGGGTCGTCGCGTCCGGTCTTCTTGAAGCCCCAAAGTCCAGGTCCCGTCCTGATTACCTATCTCGTATACTAGTACGGGACTGCCACATGCATGCCAATCTGGTACGTAACTTCCAAGCTTTTTTGTACAAAGAAGAAGAAAAAGAAGAAGAAGAAGAAGAAGAATGAAATGAGGCCGATGAAAATGAGGAACGGTGACAAAGTTGGCAGCCATGATCCACAAAGGTAAGCAAGACGCAAAAGATACTAGTAGCAATTAATCTTAATCGCTTTGGTTAATCTAGCGGCATTGACTAACCATATCTTGCATGCGTGTAGCTTGGCGGACGTCCAAAACCTGTGGAACCAATGGGAGATCCACTGCCTGATAGTGGCAAGCTTCGCCTTGCAAGTGTTCCTCTTCTCCACCGCGGGCCTCCGGCTGCGCAGCTCCTCCCGTGTCGTGGGGGTGCTGCTGTGGCTGGGCTACATGTCGGCCGACTCCGTCGCCGTGTTCGTCCTGGGCCATCTCTCCGTCCACACCGCCGGCGGCGGCCACCAGCTGCTTCTCTTCTGGGCGCCCTTCGTGCTCCTCCATCTGGGCGGCCAGGACACTATCACGGCTTTCTCCATGCAGGACAACGCTCTGTGGATGCGCCACCTGCTGGGCTTCGCCTCGCAGCTGGCGGTGGCCGTCTTCGTCGTCTCCAAGTCGCCCTGGCCAGACCGCCGGCTCCTCGCCGCCATGCTGCTCATGTTCCTGTCGGCGAGCATCAAGTACGGCGAGCGCATCTACTGCCTCGCCACGGCCAACCCAGGGCGGCTCATGAAGGAGTTCCTGCGTGGCTTTGAAGACCGAATACGCTCCATCAAGGAGATGCAAGCCATCGCCAGAGAAGGCCTGGGGTCCTATCTCAGCAGCCGCACGTTCACCGAGGTGTCCCTGAATCCTGCCATGGACATCATGTCCACGGACATCCTGCCCGACTACGACTGGTCCGTCTCCCGCGACGTCTTCTTGGACCTCTACTCCAAGCAGATCGATCCTTCCACGCCACATTACCGTCGCAACGCCTACTTCTTCGCCGAGGACAGGCTCTGGGTCTGCTACCAACGTCTCTACACCAAGGCCGTGTTCCGTCTCTCCCCTGCTGGCGCCTTGCTCCATCTCCTCGGGTTTCTCTCCACCTCGGCGGCCATGGCGCTCTTCTTCATGGCAGGTAAAAGCGGCTACGGCGGAGCTGACGTCGCCGTGTCCACCCTGTTGCTCGTAGGCGCCGTCACTCTGGAGGCAGCCTCCTTCTTCATGTCCATGTTCTCCCGCGAAGACCTCTGGAGGCACCCGCTCTGCTGCTCCGGCAAGCTCCCTGTGATCCACTGCGTCTTCTTCATCACCTGCGGGACTTGCGCCGATTCGCTAAGGAGGAGGTGGCGGAGACCGCAGTGGTCCAAAACACTAACGCAGTACAGCATCATCCAGAGATCCGTCAAGAGAGCTTCCGGCAGCTCAATGGTGCCGCGGTGGGTCGTCGAGCGCCTGAGCTCGAGCGCGTCTGGCGTCGAGCGCATTCCCGTCGCCGACGACCTCAAGCACCTGGTCGTCAAGAAACTGCTAGACGATAAGATGATGGCGACGGACTTCACCAGCTCGCGGGGCGAGGTGGCGCTGGGGAGGCGGTGGGCTGATCAGCAGCCGCCACAGAGCCTCAGCCTGTCAGAGAAGGTCCTAAGCGAGAGTGTGAAGGAAGTGGATTTCCCAACCAGCGTGCTCATCTGGCACATTGCCACGGACATACGCTTCTTCACCGACGCTGCCGGCGAGGCCTCCGACGACAAAACCATTATTAGCAGGCAGCTCTCAGGTTACATCATGTACCTCATCTTCAAGTGCGGCGTCATGCTCAGCAGCAACTCCAAGTTCCTGCTCCGCAAAGCCGGTGATGAGATCACCGCTCTTGTCAAGGCCGGGCGGCGAGATGAACAACATGATGGATCATCATCCCGGGGTAAGAAAGGCATAGCCATGGCTGTGCAGCATTTGGTGGGATCGCCGCTGTTCGCGCAGGCACGCTCTAGTTCAGACACAGTGCCGGCCAACCCCAGCACCGCTGATATCCTCGGTGACCCGGTGCTGCCTCGCGCGTTCAGGGTGGCCGAGTCGCTGGCCGGCGTCCCGGAAGCCGATCGCTGGGGGCTCATCGTCGATGTCTGGCTGGAGATGCTCTACTACATTGCGCCTCGCTGCGGGGCCGCGTTCCATCGCGAGCATCTCAGCACCGGTGGGGAGTTCATCACGCATGTCCTCGTCGTAATGTATACCATAGGCCCCCTCGGCTATCACCCAAGTCTGCTTAAGTTTGGACCTCACTAGTACTGCAGGTTGCACGCGTATCCTGAAAGTTTTAGAGCATACAAGTCGTGCGGGTGCGGCACCGGCGGTGCTCCAGCCGGCGGCCGACCCCGAGCGACCACCGGCCGCTACTGCTGCGGGCGGGAGCCCGCACCGAGCGCCGCCGCGACTCATGGATTTGGTGGCACCACCGGCGGCACAGCTGCTTCAGATTCGTCACTTTCAGTTTGACAGTGTGATATTTGATAAATTCAGTTTCGTCGGAGAACAAATGTTTGACAGTGTGATGTTTGATAATGATTGCAATTTCAGATTCTTCAAAGAACAACCACTATCTAACTTCAGTTTCGTCAGAGAACAATCACTGTTGAACTTGATTGATATACTAGCATGTTGTTGTCATATTCAGATGTTTTTATAGAGCAAGTAGTTTGCATGTTTAAACTTCGGTGGAACTATGAAATATAGTCGTAGAATTCGAATGTTCGTTCAAAAAAAATGGTTTTATTGATCTGGGTGCCCTATTTTACTATTTTAGGGATGTTGTTGG